TTCTAATGGTATTTGTAAATAAGATATCATGTCCGCATCTTGCACAGCAATTAACCACTAGGAAGCAAGCATGCAATGTTTTAATTATTTAAACTGTCCTACCAATTTAATTTGAAACTGTCTCTTTGGTATTTGTTTATCAATAAAATTATGGGGAAAAATTAAAAAAATAAAAAGTTTTAATCATAGGTTAAAAAACCCAAAAAGGTAATGAATGAAACCAGGACACAACAAAAAAAATGTCCTATAACTGTCCTGCTACAATGGTGTATATTGTTAGATTTCTAAATTTATGTGTAATAATATGTAATTGTTTATTCTTATTTTTTAACATTTAAAACATTTTTTCTTCTCATTCTGTAGGGATTTAAAGTTTAGCATATCAATAGTTGATGGAAAATTCCTGTTCCATGCTGTCTAAGATAATTGATACTCAGACAGATAGTAAGTTTAAGTTCAACTGCCTATGTTATATGGTAATAATCCCATTAAGTTTATCTTTTGTGTGGTTGACAACTTAAGCTTGCTCATCAAAAATTAGAGAAAAAGAAGGGTGCAGGAATAGCCAAATTTTGACCCTAGCCTTTCAAGTTCAGTGAGGACTCAGGACATAAGAGAATCTATACTGTAACATACTGTAATCCAGTGATGTCCCAAAATTTTCTGATCAAGGAGATAACGGGGCCACAGAACAAAGTGATTGATGATGTAGAGTGTGCCTAAGAAGAGTCAAATAGAGGAAAACAAGCAATGGCTGTGACTCACCCACATGACTGACACTGACAAAAGATCTACAAACTGCAGTACAGGATTTCAGGGTAAATCCTGAGGGGATTTCACTGACCTTGTCAAATACAAAAGTTACATTTCTTGTCATATAGGTCTTGCTTTATCTTGGTCTTAACCATCCAGCAACAAATTATAAAGTGAGGTATAAAAAGTAAATCCATATTTATATGCTGAGCTGTGAAATGCTTAAGCCAACAACATCTGATCTTGCTAGTCCTACAGATTACACACTATCATGGACTACTGGACTAAATTGGATTATTTTGCTGAATTCACATACCTTCAATGTTTAAATGGCAATGGAATACCCATCTCTGACTAAAGTAAACAAAAAAGGGATACAAATAAAGGACCATTTTCTTCTTCTTCTTCTTTTTTTTTTTTTGAATCAGGGATTGAACTCAGGCCCTTGAGCTTGCCAGGCAAGCGCTTATTGTACTGAGCCATCTCTCTGGCCCCGACCTTTTTCTATCTGTATATACAAGGTAGTTAGGATAGATGTACAGCTACTTTTTCTTAGTTCAATGACATGAAAGATTTGTACTATTAGCGTTTGGACAGGATACCATATCTGCATCTTGTACTATGAATAACCACCATGAAGAGAACCATATACAATGTATTAATTATTGAAACTGTCCTACTAATTAGTTTTGAAACTGTCTCATTGTTGTTTCTCAAAATTAATAAAAATAAAAATAAATTTGTATGAACTCACAATTCACAGGATGAACATGTATATTTATGACAGCACTGTTTGTATGAGGGAAGTCAGTGGAAATAACATAACAGTTCACCAACAGGAAAATGCTTATGTCCAATGGAATAAGAAATAAGAATTGGAAATCATTTTCTTGTAGGCATATATATATATATATATATGCAGTCAGCATTACCCGGTCTAAAAAGAAATGAGCTATCAATCCATAAACATTTTGTTGAATCTGGAAAATGCATGTGCCTGCATGAAGTCAGACAGAGCTAGGCCCTCAGAAGTAGCCAGAAAGGAAAACCAGATACCTAGAAACTGTGGGAGAGACTCCCACTGTGGGCCAGACCTCAATACAAAAAAGCAAACTAATGCATATCTCTCTGAAGATAAGTATCAGGGATTATCACCTTAAGGAAGCTTGGAAGTGTCAGTAACCCAACTGCCTACAGGAGCAGCCCCTGTTCTATATTCATCTTGGCTTGCAAAATGACTCCCTCATTTGGTCCTGGATTTAAATCATTTTACCTGAGCAATTATGCTTACAATCTTTTTTCGTTGACCATAGTTTCGTCCCACTTCATGTTCAAGCCTCTATGTTTTCCACCTTAGACTCACCTCACCTCATGGTTTTGCTTTATAAAATTCCCTAGTGGAGCTGGGGAGATAGCTCAGTGATCTAAGTGCCTGCCTGACAAGCACAAGGACCTAGGTTCAAACCCCAGTACCACATGCCATGCCGGGCCTGCAATGCCAGAGTTCAAACTGTGTAGCAACACCCTGTACTAAATAAATAAAAAGATTTTAAAATACATAAAA